CCTGTAGTCCCAGCTACTTGGGAGAATGAGGCAAGAGAATTGCTTAAGCCCAAGAGTTTGAGGTTGCTGTGAGTTGTGATGTCACAGCACTCTACTGAGAGCAACATGAGACTGTCTCAAAATAAATAAATAAATTTAGCTACCTATATCAGAAAATGTAGAGCTATAAAATACTATTAAAATAGAAATACTACTTTATCCCCAAACCTACCTGTAAAGCTTATAACATTATTCAAGTTTTGGCCAGGCACAATGGCTCATGCCTGTAATCCCAGCACTTGGGAGGCTGAGGCGGGTGGAATGCCTGAGCTCACAGGTTTGAGACCAGCCTGAGCCAGAACGAGACCCTGTCTCTAAAAAATAGCCCAGCACTGTGGCGGGCACCTATAGTCCCAGCTACTTGGGAGGCTGAGGCAAGAGGATCACTTGAACCCAAGAGTTTGTGGTTGCTGTGAGCTAGGACACCAGGGCACTCTACCAAGGGTGACCAAGTGAGACTCTGTATCAAAAAAAAAAAATTCATTCAAGTTGTTCATATATCTTTGAGATGTGTGTATGCACATCTATAGCAAATTTTTTAGTTATCTACAGCAGTTGTCCAGAGTACATAATTTTTATTGCTATCTAAGCCGTGACAGAGACGTTTAAGTCTAAATGATTCTATCACTGGAAATTTTTCTAAAGTCAAAAGCAGTGATCTGCCTTATACTGGAATGCTCTTTCCCACCCATTCTCAACATGTACGTTCTTAATGTGCACAACATAACTCCATTAACTATTTATTTATTTATTTTGAGACAGAGCCTCAAAGCTGTCCCCCTGGGTTGAGTGCCGTGGCATCACAGCTCACAACAACCTCCAACTCCTGCGCTCAAGCGAGTCTCCTGCCTCAGCCTCCCAAGTAGCTGGGACCACAGACGCCCGCCACCAACACCCAGCTATTTTTGGTTGCAGCCATCATTGTTGTTTGGCGGGCCTGGGCTGGATTTGAACCCTCCACCTTAGGTGTATGTGGCTGGCTTCTTAGCCACTTGAGCCACAGGCGCTGAGCCATACATCAACTATTTAAATGCTGCCATTTAAAGTGATCTTTTGCAGCTGCACACAGTGGTTCACGCCTGTAATCCTAGCACTCTGAGAGGCTGAGGCAGTTGGATTGCTTGAGCTCAGGAGAGACTAGCCTGAGCAAGAGCGAGATCTCATTTCTATTAAAATAGAAAGAAAAAAAACAACAAATACCCCAAAACCCCACTAGTTGGGTGTTGTGGTGGGCACCTATATTGCCCGCTACTCCAGACGCTAAGACAAGAGGATTGCTCAAGCCCAGGGATTTGAGGTTGTTGTGAGCTATGACACCATGGCACTCTCCTCAGGGCAGAGTGAGATTCTGTCTCAAAAAAATTTTTAAAAATTTAAATAAAATGCGATCTTTTCCAAGCATTATCTAATCAGAGACCCACAGAAGTGAAAAACAGACACTGAGGTGGGGTGGAGGGGATAAGAAGGTATGAAAATACATAGAGAAAGGAAGAAGAGAGAGAGGTGGGATGCACAGATATACTCACTCTCACTTAGTCCAACCAAAGAACAGGGTTTGATCCTTTTCAAGTACCTTAATGACCCCACAAAACATTCATCCCCTTTCCAGTAAGTTACTTTTGACTGTTTTCTCAACTGTAGGTCAGTTGCTTTGACGGCAAAAGGCAGAAAATTAACTAATGGAAGCTTATTACCTGCAGATTCTGAGAATTCAGCAAGAATCTGTCAAATTCCCTACTGAAAGGAGTTCTTAACATTGACCCCGGGTAATGAGGTTTAAAAAAAAAAAAATCAGCCTATGAGGTATCACCAACATCCACCGATAGCCAACCAAGGAAAAATTCTGAATAGGCAGAACTACAGAGCCCCCAGACACAGTTGTTAAGACTCAGCTTCTGGGTGGCCTACCTATAATTCCTGCAATTATAGCCCAGGAAATTCCCCTGTACTCTACTTAAAACACTTTTTTGTTTCACTTTACATTTTTTTAGAGATGGGGTCTTGCTTACGCTGGAGTACAGTAGCCCAGTCATAGCTCACTATAACCTTTAATTCCCAGGCTCAAGTATTCCTCCTGCCTCAGCCTCTTGAGCAGTTACAACTATAGGGAAGCACCACCATGCTCAGCTAATTTCTTTTTATTTTTTGTAGAGACAGTATTACACTAGGCTGGCCAGGCTGGTCTCAAACTCCTGCCCTCAAGTCATCCTCCCAAGTCAGGGTCCCAAAATGCTGGGATTACCAGTATGAGCCAACTCACCTAGCCTTTTACCTGTACGCTTCTACTAAACTGATTTTTTACTTGCGTTTCAGGGAGTTTCCATACTGTGCAAATAACATGACTTAAGTGTATGAATTGATGAAACAATATTGGTTAAGTACACTCTACTGCCTATCATATTTTTGTGTGTGTCCTTACATCACCTGAAAAGAAAGGTTTCAAAATTTAATCTGAGGAAAAGAAGGATCAGTCAGACACAATGTCCTTTTCCATATCTAGATTCACTCATATCTTGGGAACAAGCGCTGAGCCTTAAATTGATGGTGGTAGTAGAAAATATTTTATCACTGACACTGTTTAAGATTTTGTAGGTGGCTCGGTGCGGTGCCTGTAGCACAGTGGTTACAGCACTGGCCACATACACCGAGGCTCAAACCTGGCCTAGGCCAGCAAAACAATGGCAACTGCAAAAATAAATAAATAAATAAAATAAAGGCTGGGCATTGTGGCAGATGCCTGTAGTTCCAACTACTTGGGAAGCTGAGGCAGGAGAATCACTTAAGCCCAACGGCTCAGAGGTTGCTGTGAGCTGTGACACATGGCACTCTACCTAAGGTGACCAAATGAGACTCTGTCTCAAAAAAAAAAAAAAAAAAAGACCTGGCTCCTGGGAGCTTTGGCATTGATGAAGCAGATGACAATGATAGAGAAGAGAAGATGCTGGAGCTCCCCATAAGGGTGATAACCTCAGGTTCTTTATGCATAGTTTCTAATTTCTAACTGACTGCAAAACAGAACTATGAAGAGTTTGTGACAGTCTATCACTCTTACCGTGTGAACAGTATTTAATTTTATAATAAAAAATTTTTTGAGTAGGGCGCCAGCCCCATATACGGAGGGTGGTGGGTTCAAACCCGGCCCCAGCCAAACTGCAACAAAAAAATAGCCGGGCATTGGGGGGGGGGGCACCTGTAGTTCCAGCTACTTGGGAGGCTGAGGCAAGAAAATGGCCTAAGCCCAAAAGCTGGAGGTTGCTATGAGCTGTGATGCCTCTGTACTCTACCAAGGGCGATATAGTGAGACTCTGTTTCAAAAAAATAGACAACGACTGAGGCTCTAGAATCACTCTTGAATCCAAACACAGTACAAATATGAACTATATTGTGATCCTGAGAAAGTTTCTTAACTCATCTGTGCCTTAATTTTATCAAGTGTAAATTGAGTTAAGAATTCCTTATTTTGGCTCGGCGCCTGTGGCTCAAGTGGCTAAGGCACCAGCCACATACACCTAAGGTTGCGGGTTTGAATCCAGCCCGGGCCCACCAAACAACAATGACGGCTGCAACCAAAAAATGGCCAGGTGTTGTGGCAGGCACCTGTGGTCCCAGCTACTTGGGAGGCTGAGGCAGGAGACTCGCTTGAGTCCAGGTGTTGGAGGTTGCTGTTAGCTGTGAGGCCACGGCACTCTACCCAGGGGGACAGCTTGAGGCTCTGTCTCCAAAAAAAAAAAAAAAAAAGAGAATTCCTTATTTTATTGCCGTTTTTGACTGGGGCCAGGTTTGAACCCGCCACCTCCAGTATATGGGGCCAGCACTCTACTCCTTGAGCCACAGGCACCACCCCAAGAATTCCTTATTTTAAAAACAAAATTATATTAATGCTTGAAAAGTAGTTAACAGTATAAATAGTCCATATTTTTTTTTTTTACATGTATAAAGTATGTTGGTTTTTGGCCAGGCATGGTGGCTCATGCCTATAATCCTAGCACTCTGGGAGGCTGAGATGGGCAGACTGCTTGAGCTTATAAGTTCAAGACCAGTTTCAATAAGAGTGAGACCCCATCTCTAAAAAAAAAAAATCCAGGCATTGTGGTGGGCGCCTGTAGTCCCAGCTGCATGGGTGGCTGAGACCACAGAATCTCTTACGCCCGGGAGTTTGGAGCTGCTATGAGCTAAGGGCACTCTACCAAGGGCAACATAGTGAGTACTATTTGTCTCAAAAACAACAACAACAAAAAAAAGTATGTTGGGTTTGAATAGAAGGCAATTTTGATGTCTCACCTTCAAATGTACTACTCAAACACCAACATAAGTTAAAAGTGAACTACTATGGTGGAGGGGCCTGGTGCGTAAGCCTCTAATACTTG